AAATTATTTTGAGCAGAGACAAGTAGAAATAATGACTGAAAGTTGGAATAATATTTCTGATATTTGTTTGCATCTTTGAGAATACCTCTCTTCAGTTATATAGGTCCATAATTTTTTAAGGTTATGCTAGACATTAGTCTGAGTCTCTATTACTACTAACCAAAAGACTATTACCTATTAACTAATATACTCCTTCCTATACCCCATCACCGTGGCCTTGGACTGTGTGAGTTATAAGAGAACAAAGAGCCTTCATTATAGGTTTGGAGAGAGAAAAGATTCTCCAGGGAAGTGAGGTTTCAGTTAAGACTAAGAGTACAGAATGCTTGTTTACAGTGGGATTGAGTTTTGAAGGCCATGATGAAAAGGGTTCGAAGAGTGGGAAGTCTGAGTAAGAGGGTGACAGGAGAGAAAGTACTGAATAAAGGGGGACTTAATATCAATGCAAGCTCTTTGAAACAATTAACGTGCTAATATACTAACATATAAAATCATATTGCCATGGCTTTTGTGACTGCATATGTAATAAAAATATAGATCAGATTTTGTTTAAAATGCCACTTATACGAGCTATCTAAAGTAGTCAAATTCATAGGAATAGAAAGTAGGAAGGTGGCTGCCAGGACCTTAGGGAGAAAGAGATGGGGAGCTGCTATTTAATGATATTTAAAGATAGATCCCACACCAATATCAATAAAAACTGCTCTACACCTGGATATTTAATAGTGAACCTTGCAAATTTGAAAGATAAAGAGAATTTCCTGAAAGCAGCAAGAGACAAGTAATCTCTAAATTTTATGGGGAGAAGTATTAGTATAACAGCAGACCCCTCCACAGAGACCTGGAAGGCCAGAAAGGGCTGGCAGGATATATTCAGGGTCCTACATGAGAAGAACATGAGCCAAGAATACTTTATCCAGCAAGGCTCTTATGCATAATAGAAGGAGAGATAAAGAGTTTCCAAGATAGGCAGAAACTGAAAGAATATGTGATCATGAAGCCAGCTCTGCAACAAATACTAAGGGAGATTCTGTAATAGAGGAAGTCCAAGGGAACAATCCACAAAAACAGGGACTGAATAGGTTTCATGATGACACTGAATACATAGCTTTCAATAGTAACTCTGGATGTGAATGAGTTTAATGACCCCACCAAAAGGTGCAACTGCCGATTCTCACTGGATAAAAAAGCAAAACCCATCTCTTTGCTGTGTACAAGAGACTCATTTTAGACATAAGGACACCTACAGCCTGAAAATAAAAGGTTGGAGAAAAACGAACCATTCCAAAGGTCCTCCAAAGAAAGCAGGGGTAGCCATCCTTAGATCAGATAAATTACATTTCTTCACAAAGACTGTAGTAAATGATGAAGAGGGACACTATAACATACTTAAAGGATCTATCCAACAAGAAGACCTAACAGTCATCAATATTTATGCCCAAAATTTATGCCCGCAATGTGGAAGCTGCCAAGTGTATCAATCAATTAATAACCAAACTTAAGGCCTACTTAGATAATGATACACTCATACTTGGTGCCTGGAATGAAGCGCTTTCCTCAATCAACAGGTTTTCTAAACACAACATCTCTAAAAACAAGAGTTTTAAATGGTACACTAGACCAGATGGATTTCACAGATATTTACAGATCTTCCCATCCAAACACAATTGAATACACATTCTTCTCAAGTGCACATGGATCTTTCTCCAGAGTGGACCACATACTGGGTCACAAAACAGGACTTAATGATACCAAAAGATCGGGATCGTCCCCTGCATATTTTCACACCATAATGCTTTGAAATTAGAACTAAATCACAAGAAAAAGTTTGGAAGGATTTCAAACATATAGAGCTTAAGGACCATCTTGCTAAAAGATGAAAGCGTAAAGCAGGAAATTAGAGAAGAATGAAACATTCATGGAAACTAATGAGAATAAAGATACAACTGTTAAAAATCTTTGGGATACAACAGGAGCAGTCCTGATGGGGAAATTCATTGCAATATGAGCATCCATCCAAAAACTGGAAAGAACTCAAATACAAAAGCGAATGTGGCATCTAAAGGAACTGGAGAAAAAAACAGCAAATAGATCCTACACACAGCAGAAGAAGAGAGTCAATAAAGATTTGGGCAGAACTCAATGAAAGAGAGACCAGAAGAAATGTGTAATGGATGAACGAATCCAGGAGTTGGTTTTTTGAAAGAATTAATAACGTAGATAAATCATTAGGCAGCCTTATTAAAAAGAAGAGGGAAAGGACTCAAATTAATAAAATAATGAATGATCAATGAGAGAACACCACCACCACAAAAAATACAAACGAATTTTAAAGCTTATGATGAGCAGCTACATGCCAATAAATTAGGCAATCTTGGAGAAATGGACACATTTCTAGAAAACCACAAACTACCAAAACTGGAACAGGAAGAAATAGAAAACTGAACAGGCCAATAACCAGGGAAGAAATTGAAGCAGTCCTCAAATCCTACCAAGACACAAAATCCAGGGCAAGATGCCTTCCCAGAGGAATTCTATCAAACGTTTAAAGAAGCCATACCTCTTCTACTAAAGCTGTTCTGAAAGATAACGAGATGTAGCATTTGCAACTCCTTGTATGAGGCCAACATCACTTAAATTCCACGACCAGACAAAGACCCCACCAAAAAGGAGAATTACAGACCAATATCCCTCATGAACATGGATGGAAAAATTCTCACAAGATTCTAGCCAGTATTATGCTGAGTGAAGTAAGTCAATCGGAGAAGGAGAAACATTATATGTTCTCATTCATTTGAGGAATATAAATAATAGTGAAAGAAAGAGAAGAAATGTGTGGGAAATATCAGAAAGGGAGACAGAACATATAGAGAAGAAATGTGTGGGAAATATCAGAAAGGGAGACAGAACATATAGACTCCTAACTCTGGGAAATGAACTAGGGATGGTGGAGGGGAGGAGGGTGAGGAGTGGGGGTGAACGGGTGATGGGCACTGAGGGGGCACATGACGGGATGAGCACTGGGTGTTATTCTGTATGTTGGCAAATTGAACACCAATAAAAATAAATTTATTATAAAAAAACAAAAAAAACACAAAAAACAAAACAAACAAACAAACAAACAAAAAGATTCTAGCCAGTAGGAACCAACAGAGTGTTTCATTTCACTATTTTTTCTATTCCCCAAATGAAGGAGACCATATAATGTCTGCCTTCTCAGATTGCCCTATTCACTCGGCATAACACCCTCCAGTTCCATCCACATCGAAGGAAATGGTGGGCATTTGTCGTTTCTAATGGCTGAGTAATATTCCATTGTATACATAAACGACATCTTCCTTATCCATTCATCTTTCCATGGACACCGAGGCTCCTTCCACAGCTTAGCTATTGTGGACATTGGTGCTATAAACATCGGGGTGCAGGTATCCCGGCGTTTCATTGCATCTGTATCTTTGGGTTAAATTCCCAGCACTGCAATTGCTGGGTCTTAGTGCACATCTATTTTTTATTTTTTTATTTTTACCTTTTTTGGCAGATCTATTTTTAATTTTTTGATGAACCTCCACACAGTTTTCCAGAGTGGCTGTGCCGGTTCACATTCCTACCAAGAGTCCAGGAGGGTTCCCCTTTCTCCACATCCTCTCCACCATTTGTGGTTTCCTGCCTTGTTAATTTCCCCATTCTCACACATGTGAGGTGGTTATCTCATTGTGATTTTGATTTGTATTCCCCTCATGGCCAGGGACGCGGAGCATTTTCTCATGTGCTTGTTGGCCATGTCTATATCTTCCTCTGTGAGATTTCTGTTCATGTCTTTTGCCCATTTCCTGTTTGGATTGTTTGTTTCTTTGCTGTTGAGTTTAATAAGTTCTTTAGAGATCTATGATACTAGCCCTTTATCTGTTACGTCATTTGCAAATGTCTTCTCCCATTCTGTAGGTTCTCTTTTAGTTTTCTTGACTGTATCTTTTGCTGTGCAAAAGCTTCCTATCTTGATGAAGTCCGAATAGACCATTTTTGTTTCTCCGTCTCTTGCCTTCGTGGATGTATCTTGCAAGAAGTTAGTGTGGTCAAGATCCAAAAGGGTGTTGCCTATGTTCTCCTTTAGGATATTGATGGACTCTTGTCTCACATTGAGATCTTTCATCCATTTTGAGTTTCTCTTTGTGTACGGTGCTAGAGAGTGGTCTAGTTTCATTCTTCTGCATGTTGATGTCCATTTTCCCCAGCACCATCTATTGAAGAGACGGTATTTTCCAGTGGAGAGTTTTTCCTCCTTTATCAAATATTATTAGTTGACCATAAAGTTGAGGGTCCACTTCTGGATTCTCTATTCTGTTCCATTGATCTATGTGTATGTTTTTGGGCCAGTACCACACTGTCCTGATGACCACAGCTTTGTAGTACAACCTGAAGTCTGGCATTGTGATGCCCCCAGCTATGGATTTCTTTTTAATATTCCCCTGGCTATTCGGGGTCTTTGCTCATTCCACACAAATTTTAAGATAATTAGTTCCAGCTCTCTGAAGAAAGTCCATGGTATTTTGATAGCAATCCAGTGTCTGGGTGACTCACATGCCCAGGGGCACGAGGGTTAAGAGGGTTCCCAGTCTGAGGGATCCTGATAGGTGCTCTGTTCTGGGGACTGAATTTCTCCATGTCCTGCTGTGTTCGAGGGTTTGTGGTGTATGTGCGCCTGGTCAGCCAGGGATCTGGAGCATCCATTTGTACACTACTGACCTGGGGCAGGCAGCTTGTGGTCTGAGGGCCCGTGTTCCACTGACCCCCACCATGTCCAGTTTTGTGGTGACTCCTTCTCCCAGGACTTACTTGTTTCATATAATCCCTTCTCTGCCGGGTGCCTGGAGGCACTGCAAACACTGTACACATGGGGGTGGAGTGGAGGGTTAGGGCATTCCTGCGCCCTGTACTGAGCTGGGTTAGAGAGCACCAGAGAAGCAGTGAGTGCCCTGGGTTCCCTCAGAACGGGGACCCACAGCTTTCCTGTGTTGAGCTCCGGGTTGACCCCAGCGGTGTCGGAGAGGCATTTCCCCTCTGAGTATCCATGGTACCGATTCCCAGTGTCCCGCTCCCACTGTCCACATGGGAATATGTCCGTGAGCAGCCAGGCCAACCTCTCAGTGGGAATTGGGAGCAGGAGTTGCCTGCTATGGGTTCATGTACTCTCAGGACCATACGGGGGATGAATGGATGTGTAAACATGCAGGTGGAGCCCAAAGTCTTGGCGAGAGGACTGGGGCAGGAGGGTGGTCCGGGGGCTTGCGATGGGTATGGGCAGAAAACAGGGAAGACAAGCTGAGGGAGAGCAGGGAGATCTGTGGCTGAAGTGCCATCTCTGTCATCATGGGCACCTGCGAGGTTGTCATGCTTTTATATCAACTCAGGTGCATCAGAGTTCTCATCTGTGATGTCACCGCCATGCCCTGGCCAGTCAGGCATGCTCTCGGAGGGGCCTGGTTCAGGTGGCCAATCACCATGCAGCTCAGGTGGCCAATGTCAGATGGCTTTCTCATTGACCCTCCTGATACCGTTGCCTAGAGACAATTTTAAACGGAAAACAGAGTAGGAGGGGGCAAGATGATGGAAGAGCAGGGTCCCCAAATCACCTGTCCCCACCAAATTACCTACACAACTTTCAAATCCTCCTGAAAACCTACGAATTTGGCCTGAGATTAAAGAAAGAACAGCTGGGGATCCTTGGGTGGCGCAGCGGTTTGGTGCCTGCCTTTGGCCCAGGGCAAGATCCTGGAGACCCTGGATCGAATCCCACGTCGGGTTCCCGGTGCATGGAGCCTGCTTCTCTCTCTGCCTGTGTCTCTGCCCCCCCCCTCTCTCTGTGTGTGTCTGTGACTATCATAAATAAATAAAAATTAAAAAAAAAGTAAAGAGCGAACAGCTGGAATGCTACAGTGAGAAGAGTTCATGCTTCTATCACGGTAGGAAGATGGGGCAGGGGAAGAAATAAAGAAACAAAAGGCATCCAAGTGGGAGGGGCCCCGCGAGGACCTGGGTTAAGGCCACGGCGAGTGTCCCCAGGACAGGAAAGCCCCATCCTGGAGAAGCAGGGGTTTCACCAATCTTCCCGGGAGTTGGAGCAAGATCCCAGGAGGGGCGGGGATGCCCTCAGCCTCCCTGGGACACTAAGAGAGCACCAGCGCCCCCGGGGAGAGCGCACCCCACACCGTGGCCGAGCTCCCTAAAGGGCTGCGGCGTACATCCAGTGGGCCCCAGAGCAGCTTGGAGGCGGCTGAGGCAGCGGCTCCACTGGGAGGGAGCTGCTCGGGCCTGGGTGCAGATCGGAAGGGGCTCAGGCAGAGGCTCCATGCAGGGAGCTGCACGGCCCTGGGGACTGCTCAGAATGCATTCGGGCAGAGGCTCCACATGGAGGGGCCTGGGCGGCCTGGAGCACAATTCCAACAGCTCAGGCCTGGGAGCAAAGTGCGCCAGGGACTCAGCCCAGGATCGGCGCCTCCCGTGGGACAGACAGAAGCCAGGGAGGCTCAGGACAGCAAGGACACTCTTGCCGCCAGGTGGCCCCGAGCTGGTCAGATCAGCGGCCCCTGCCCCCAGAGCATCCAGGCTTCTGCAGACTGCAAGCTCCATAGCTACTGCGGGAGCTGACTCCAGGACTCCAGAGCTGGCCGCCTCTACTGTTGTTGTTCCTCCTGGGACCTCACAGGATAAACAACCCCCACTGAGCCTCACAGTGGCCTCACCGGCTAAACAGCTTAAACATCTTTCATTGAGCCCTGCACCAGGGAGGGGGCTGAGCAGCACCCCCAAGTGCTAAAACCCAAAAGTCAGCACAGCAGGCTCCTCCCCCAGACGACCAGCTAGTGGACAGGGGAAAAACAAACTATTGTCCAAGAAGCACTGGAAAGTTCCAGGGGAAGCCGAGGGATTTACACTATAGAAAATGAGAGGAGACTCTCCCTTGATTTTTGTTTTTTGCTCCCCCCCCTTTTTCTTGTATTCTATTCTCTTTTTTTCCTTCTTTTCTATTTTCCTTTTTATTCGTTTTTCTTCTTTTTGTTCTTCTTTCTCTTTTTCCCAATACAACTTGTTTTTTGCCATTTTACACATTCTTTTTGTTGTGTGATTGCTGAAGCTAGGACTTCTAGTCCTATGTTGAGTAGCAGTGGTGAGAGTGGACATTCCTGTCTTGTTCCTGATCTTAGGGGAAAGGCTCCCAGTGCTTCCCCATTGAGAATGATATTTGCTGTGGGTTTTTTGTAGATGGCTTTTAAGATGTCGAGGAATGTTCCCCTGTATCTCTACACTCTTAAGAGTTTTGATCAGGAATGAATGCTGCATTTTGTGCAATGCTTTCTCTGTATCTATTGAGAGGATCACATGGTTCTTGTTTTTCTGTTGCTGATACAATGAATCACATTGATATTTTACAAGTGTTGAACCGGCCTTGCATCCCAAGGATAAATCCTACATCGTCATGGTGAATACTCTTCTTAATGTATTGTTGTATCCTATTGGCTAATATCTTGTGGAGAATTTTTGCATCCATGTTCATCAGGGATATTGGTCTATAATTCTCCTATTTGGTGGGGTCTTTGTCTGGTTTTGGAATTAAGGTGATGCTGGCCTCATAGAACGGGTTTTAAATTACTCCGTCTCTATCTTTCCGAACAGCTTTAGTAGAATAGGAATGGGTTCTTTTTTTAAATGTTTGATAGAATTCCCCAGGGAAGCCATTTGGCCCTGGACTTTTATGTCTTTAGAGGTCTTTGAGGACTGCTTCAATTTCTTCCCTGGTTATTGGCCTGTTTGGTTTTGTATTTCTTCCAGTTCCAGTTTTGATAGTTTATGGCTTTCTAAAAATGCATCAATTTCTTCTAGATTGCCTGATTTATTGGCGTTTAGCTGTTCATAATATGTTTTTAAAATCGTTTGTATTTCCTTGGTGTTGGTAGTGATCTCTCCTTTCTCATTCATGATTTTATTAATTTGAGTTCTGTCTCTTCTTTTTAATAAGCTGGCTAATGATTTATCTATCTTATTAATTCTTTCAAAGAACCAACTCCTGGCTTTTTTTTTTTATCTGTTCCACAGTTATTCTGGTCTCTAATTCATTGAGTTCTGCTCGAATCTCTATTAACTCTCTTCTTCTGCTGTATGTAGGATCTACTTGCTGTTTTTTCTCCAGCTCCTTTAGGTGTAAGGTTCGTGCTTGTATTTGAGTCCTTTCCAGTATTTGGATGGATAATCGTAATGCCATATATTTCTCCCTTAGGACTGCTTGTGCTGCATCCCAAAGATTTTGAACCATTGTATATTCATTGTCATTAGTTTTCATGAAACTTTTTAATTGTTCCTTAATTTCCTGGTTGAAGCTTTCATCTTTTAGCAAGATGGTCCTTAACCTCCATGTGTTTGAAGCCCTTCCATACTTCTTGTTGTGGTTTAGTTCTAATTTCAAGGCATTATCGTCTGAGAATATGTGGGGATGATCCCAATTTTTTGGTATCGGTTAAGACCTGATTTGTGACCCAGTATGTGGTCTCTGTAGAAACTTCCATGTGCACTTGAGAAGAATGTGTATTCAGTTGAGTTTGGATGTAAAGTTCTGTAGATATCTGTGAAATCCATCTGGTCCAGTGTATCATTTAAAGCTCTTGTTTCTTTGGAGATGTTGTGTTTAGAAGACCTATCTAGTGTAGAAAGTGCTAGATTGAAGCTGCCAAGTATAAGTGTATTATTATCTAAGTATGTCTTAACTTGGTTATTAATTGATTGATATATTTGGCAGCTCCCACATTCAGGGCATATATATTGATGATTGTTAAGTCCTCTTGTTGGATAGATCCTTTAAGTATGATATAGTGTCCCTCTTCATCTCTCACTACAGTCTTCGGGGTATATTTTAGTTTATCTGATATAAGGTTGGCTACTCTTGCTTTCTTTTGAGGACCATTTAAATGGTAAATGGTTCTCCAACCTTTTATTTTCAGGCTTTAGTTGTCCTTGGGTCTAAAATGAATCTCTTGTAGACAGCAAATAGATGGGTCCTGCTTTTTTATCCAGTCTGAAACTGCAGCTGTGCCTTTTGCTGAGGTTGTTAAGTGCATCCACGTTCAGAGTTACAATTTAAAGATATGTATTCAGTGTCATAATGATACCTATTACCAGTCCCTGTTGTTGTGGATTGTTCCCCTGGAATTCGTCTATTACATACTCCACCTTAGTATTTCTTGCAGAGCTGGCTTTGTGGTCACATACTCTTTCGCTTTCTGCCTATCTTGGAAGCTCTTTATCTCTCCTGTTTTGAATGAGAGCCTTGCTGGATACAGTATTCTTGGCTGCATGTTCTTCTCACTTAGGACCCTTAATATATCCTGCCAGCCGTTCCTAGCCTGCCAGGTCTCTGTGGAGAGGTCTGCTTTGTGCTAATACTTCTCCCCATAAAAGTTAGAGATTTCTTGTATCTTTCTGCTTTAAGGATCTTCTCTTTATCTTTGGAATTTGCAAGTTTCACTATTAAATGTCGAGGTGTTGAGTGGTTTTTATTGATTTTAAGGGGTGTCTCTCTATTTCCGGATCTGAATGCCTGTATCCCTCCCCAAATTAGGGATGTTTTCAGCTATGATTTTTTTCAAATATGTATTCTGGATCTGTCCTTTTCAGCACCCTCGGGAAACCCAGGTAAACGAAAAAAAAAAAAAACCCAGGTAAACGTAGATTTTTCCTTCTGAGGCTGTCATTTATTTCCCTTAAGATATCCTCATGATCTTTTATTCATTTGTCTCTTTTTTCCTCAGTTTCCCTCCTTGCCATCACCTTGTCTTCTATGTCACTCACTCATTCTTTTACCTCATTAACCCTAATCATTAGGACCTCTAGTATGGATTGCATTTCATTTAAGTGACTTTTAATATCAGCCTGATTAGATCTAAATTCTGCAGTCACGAAGTCTCTTGAATCCTTTATGATTTTCTCTAGAGCCACCAGTACCTTTACACTTGTGCTTCTGAATTGGCTTTCTGACAGTGAATTGTAACCCAAATTTTGTAACTCTGTGGGAGAAGGACTGTTTCTGATTCTTTCCTTTGATGTGAGGTTTTTCTTCTAGTCATTTTGCTCAGTGCAGAGTGGCCAAAAATGTTGTATTTGAAGAAGCATGAACTCTTCTCTCACTGTAGAATTCCTGCTGTTTTCTCTTTAAATCTCAGGCTGAATTCCTAGGTTTTCAGGATGATTTGAAAGTTATCTGGTGGGATCCCTGGGTGGTGCAGCGGTTTGGCGCCTGCCTTTGGCCCAGGGTGTGATCCTGGCGACCCGGGATCGAATCCCACTTCGGGTTCCTGGTGCATGGAGCCTGCTTCTCCCTCTGCCTATGTCTCTGCCTCTCTCTCTCTCTCTCTCTCTCTCTCTCTCTCTCATAAATAAATAAAAATTAAAAAAAATAAAAGGTCAAGGTTTGCTTTAAAAAAAAGAAAAAGAAAGTTATCTGGTAATTGGGAAGGGACAGGTGACTTGGGGACCCTACTCTTCCACCATCTTGCCCCCACCTCCTCTGTTTTCTGTTTCAGCATGGTTTCTAGGCAACAATATCAGGAGGGTCACTGAGAAAGCCATCTGACATTGGCCACCTGAGCTGCATGGTGATTGGCCACATGAACCAGTCCACAATGAGATCCTGATTGATTGCTGGGGTATGGTGGTGACATCATAGAAGGGCACTATGATGCACCAGGGTTTTGTAAGGCAACCACCCAGGCCCCTGTGGTGTGGTGAAGAGATGGCACTTCAGGCACAGACCTCCCTTTTCTCCCTCACGTTCTCTGCCCTGTTTTCTGCCCCTGCTATGGCAAGCCCCTTATACACCCCTCCTTCCCCAGGGCTCTTGCCAAAACTTTCTCCTCCACTTGCATGATTGCACCTCCCTTCATCCCTGTCTGTAGTTCTGAGTGTCCACGAACCCATAGCAGGTGACTCTTGGTCCCATTTTTCACTGTGAAGTTGGCCTGGCTGCTCACGGACATATTCCCATGTGGCCTCTGGGAGAGGGACACTGGAAATCCATACCATGGATACTCAGACAGAGGGGAATAGCCTCTCCCACACCTCTGGGGTCACAACTGGGCTTAACACAGGAAAGCTGTGAGACCACGTCCTGTGGGAGCCCAAGGAACTCACTGCTTCTCTGGAGCTCTTGAACACAGCTCAGTACAGGGCACATGAGTTCCCTAAACCTCCAGTCCACTCCTATGTGTACATGTCTGCATTGGCCTCCAGGCACCCAGCAGAGAGGGGATTTTATGAAACAAGTAAGTCCTGGGAGAAGGAGTCACCTGATCACTGGACATGATGCTGGTCATTGGAACACAGGCCCTCAGACCAAGAGCTGCCTACCCCAGCTCAGTAGTGGAAAATCAGTTCCCCCAGATCCCTGGCTGACCAGGAGCCCACAGACCACAAACCCTCAAACACAGCAGGACACTGAGAAATTCAGTCAACGGAACAGAGCACCTACCAGTAGCCCTCAGACTGGGAACCCTCTGAACCCACGTGGCCCTGGGCATGTGAGTAACACAGACGCTGGATGGACCAAGAAGCCTCACACCACCAGCACTCCAGCAGAGCCCAGAATAAGGCAAGGGGGTCCAGGGGACACTGGGTTTGCTGATGCCTCTAAGTCATGAGCCTTGCATCCCACCTCATCATTGTGAAAAGGAGGCACCTGCACAGGGGGATCAGCATGTGCCTTGGACCTGAAGACCAACCTCACAGCTCAGCTGTACTCACTTAGGCCCCTGGTAAGTGGGCTGCCCTTGTGATTTGGACTTGGGGTTACACATCCTGGACAGGGCTAGGCCAAGCAGGCCCCTGGATTGCAGGTTCACCATGTGCCACTGGATCCTTGACTACCAGCATTTCTCAGCACTAGGGCAAGCCGGCCTCTGCTTAGGAAGAATTCATGAGATTGAGAAAACTCTCGTAAGACTTATCAAAGAAATGATAAAGAATCCAAACAAATAAAATCATAAATGAAAGAGGCAGATCACAACCAACTCCAAATAAATGCAAACAATTATAAAGAATATTATGAGCAATTATATGCCCCAAAATCAGGCAATCTGGAAAAAAATGGATGCTTTTCTGGAGCTTATAAGCTAGGAGAACCGAAATAGGAAGAAATTGAAAACCTGAACAGATCCATTACTAGTAATGTAATTGAAGTAGTCATCAATAACTTCCTAGAAAACCACAGCCCAGGGCTGAATGCCTCCAGAGAATTCAACCAAACATTTGAATAAGAAATAATACTTATGGTAGTGAAGATCTTGCAAATATAGCAAGGAAATGCAAGGAAAACTTGAAAACTCATTCTGTGAGGTCACCATTACCTTGATTCCAAAGCCAAAGATCCCACCAAACAGGAGAACTACAGACCAATATACCTGATGAACATGGATGCCAAAATTATCACCAATATATTAGCTAAGGGAATCCAACAGTACATCAAAAGGATTATTCACTAAGACCATGTGGAAAAGATCCTGGACTGCAAGCGTGGTTCAACATTTAAAAGTCAACCAGCGTGATAGATCACCTTAATAAAAGAAAGGGCCTGAATCTTATGATCTTCGGAATTGATGCAGAAAAAACCTTAGGCAAAATACAGCATCCTTTCTTGATTAAAACTCTCCACAGTGTACGGATTGGGAAATAGACCTAACATCATAAAATCCATATTCAAAACCCATGGTGAATATCATTCTCAATGGGAAAGAAGTGGCAGCCTTTCCCCTAAGGACAGGAACACAACAAGAATGCCCACTCTCACCACCATTCTTCAATAGAGTAATAGAATTAGTAGCCTCAGCCATCAGAAAACAAAAGGAAATAAATGGCATTCAAACTGGCAAAGAAGAAGTCAAAATCCCACTTTTCTCAGGTAACATGATACTTTATGTGGAAAACACAAGAGTTTCTAACTTTGCTAGGACTCGTACTGTAATACAGCAATGTGGCAGGATGAGAAATCAATGCAGAGGAATCAGTCGTATTTGTAGACACCTAACAAGATACAGAAGACAGGGAAATTTAGGGTTGATCTTTCTTAGAATTGCACCAGAAACCATAAAATACCTAGTAATAAACATAATGAAAGAGGTAAAGGATCTGTAACTAAAAACTACAGAACACCTATGAAAGAAATTGTGGAAGAGCAAAGAGATGAGTTACCATTGCATGTTCATGGATTTGAAAAATCAATATTGTGAAAATGTCCATGCTACCCATGGCAATGTACCCTTTCAAAGTAGTCCCTATCAAAATACCATTGACATTTTTCACAGAGCAAAAATAAATAACTCTAAGATTTGCACGGAACTGGAAAAGACCCCAATTAGCCATAGGAACGTTGCAAAAGAAATCAAAAGCAGTTTATATCACAATGTCTGTACTTCAGGCTACATTTTGTCTAAGGCTTTTTCTGCATGTCATAGACAAAGCTGTCATCATCAAAATAGTATCATACTGGCAGAAAAACAGACACATTGATCAAGGAATGGACCGTCAACTCTATGGTCAACTAGTCTTCGACAAAGCAGAAAAGAATATCCGCTGGAAAAAAGGACAGTCTCTTCAACAAATTGGACAGCCACATGCAGAAGAACTCAATTGGACCATTCTCTTACACCACATACAAACATAAACTCAAAATGGATGAAACTCACTAAAGGTGAAATAGCAATCCATAACAATCCTACAGAAAAACACAGGCAGCAACCTCTTTGACCTTGGCAATAGCAACTTATGCAAGACATGTCTATAAAAGCAAGGGAAGCAAGAGCCAACCTGAACTATTGGGACTTCATCAAGTTCAAAAGCAAAGGAAAAAGTCCGTAAAACTAAGAAGCAACCTTCAAAATGGGAGAAAGCATTTGCAAATGACATAAGAGACAAAAGGCTAGTATTCAAGATCCATAAAGAACTTATGGAAGTCTACACTCAAAACAAGTATCCAGTGAAGAAATGGGTAGAAGACATGAACAGAAATTTCTCCAAAAAAGGCCTACATGTGGAGAACAGACACATGAAAAAAAAATGCTCCACATCACTCAATATCAGGAAAATACAAAACAAAATAAAACCCACAATGAGATACCACCTCACATCTGTCAGAATGGGTAACATGAACAAAGCAGGAAACAACAAATGTTGGCAAGGATGTGGAGAAGGGGAACCCTCTTGCATTGTTGGTGAGAGTGCAAACTGGTGCAGCCACTCTAGAAAAGTGTGCAGGTTTCTCAAGAACATAAAATCAGAGCTACCCTATGACTAGCAATTGCACTACTGTTTATTTACGCCAAAGATACAGGGGTAGTGAAAAGAAGGGACACCTGCACCCCAATGTTCACAGCAGCAATGTCCACAGTGTGGAAGGAGCTAGATATCCATCGACAGATGAATGGATAAAGATGTGGTCTATAGATACAATGGGATATTAGTCATCCTTTAGAGAGGATGAAACTTTACCATTTATATCGACATGGATGTTACTGGAGGGTATTACTCAGAGAGTGAAATAAGTCAGTCAGTGAAAGACAATTATCATATGGTTTCATTCATATGTGAAATAAAAGAAACATGCATAGAATCATAGGGGAATGGAGGGAAAACTGAATGGGAAGTCATCAGAGAGAGAGAAAAACCTTGAAAGAGCCTTAACTTTGTGAAATAAATGGCAGGTCGCTAGAGGGGAGGTGGGTGGGGGATGAGTACCTGGGAGAGGGGCATTAAGGAGGGCACGTGGTGTGATGAGCACTGGGTGTTACACACAAATGATAAATTACTGATCACAACACCTGAAACTAATGGTTTATTATATGCTGGCAAATTGAGTTCAGATTTTTAAAAAGTAAAATAAAAATAAGGTAAAATAAAATAGTTGTGTAAATAGAATGGGAAAATAGGAAATCAAAATAATGACAAACAAGTGATGTCTGATGGCAGAAGCGTAGAATCTCGAATTCCCTTGTTCCACTAACTTACCTAGATAACTTTCAAATCATCCTGAAAACCTACAAATTCGGCCTGTGATTTGAAGAGAGAACAGCTGGAACGCTACAGTGAAAAGAGTTTGGCTTCTCTCAAGGTAGGAAGATGGAAAAATAAATAAAGACTCCAGGGGGGGAGAACCCCCACGAGGAGCCGGGCTAAGGCCGGGCAGGATAGCCTCAAGGAAAGGAAAGCCCAGACCAGGAGAATCAGGAAGTTTACCAATCTTCCCGGATGGAAATGTGCTCACAGGAAACTGGGGCAGGATCCCAGGAGGAGCAGTGGAGCCCCGGGGACACTGACAGAAAAGTGGGGAGAGGACGCCACACACCGTGGGCCGAGTTCCGTAAACGGCTGGAGCGCACGCCCAGCGGGCCCCAGGAGAGTCTCAGGTGGTGGCTTGGGCAGCGGCTTGGCAAGGAGGGGTTTGCACGACTCCAGGAGAACAATTCCAGGGGTGCAGGTTCCGGAGTCCGGGGAGCCAGGGGACACAGCCTAAATCCTTTCCCTTTGGAAAGGGAGAGGCCAGGAGGACATAGGACAGCCAGGATGCTCCTGCCGCCAGGCACCTCTGAACTGTGAAGGTCGGTGGCCCCACACCCGGAGCCCGGAGCATCCAGGCTCCCGCGGATTGGGAGTTGAAGGACGTACTGAGGAAGCTGACTCTAGGGCTGGAGAGGTGGCTGCCAAAAGTGTTGTTTTTCCTCACTATGTAACCTTGTGTCAGGGACGGAGCCGAGCCCCCAGGGAGCATGGGCCTCACAGGATAAACAGCTCCCACTGAACCCTGCACCTGGGATGGTGTGTGGCAGCTCTTTCAGGGGCACACACCTGACAATCAAAACAGAAGGTCCCTCCCACCGCAGACCAGCTGCAAGGAAAGGGCAAGAGCAATTTCTTGACCAAGTAGCGCTGGAAAGCTCCAGGGGAATTCGTCTGATTCTTACCGTATATAGAATCAGATGATACCCCTCCT